CCCCCACCCCCGCTTCCCTGGGCGCCAGCGTAGCCCACCGGAGGGCCCTGCTGCTCGGCCCCCTGCTTCCCACCACCCTTGGAGCAGAGCCCCAGTCACTAGCTCGCTGGACCTCACGCGTGACTCGTCGTCCACGGCGCAGTTTCTCTCCGGCTCTCAAGCGTCCCCGGCCGCGTCCCTCTCCCCGCGCCCATCTGCTCAGCACACACTGTGCTCGCGGCTCCCGCGTCCCATCCAGCCCTCCCACTCCTGGCTGCGTTTTGCGCCGAGTCACCACCACGAGTGCCTGTGGGGATCGGGGTGCTTCGCTGGGCTCACACCTGGCAAGCACAGGCTCCGTGTGCCCGCCGGGCGGAAGGCCCTGGCCAAGCCCACCCGGCCCTCCAGTCTACTGGGCCCCCCCACCCCCCACGAGGCTGCTCCCGCGGGGCCAGCGCCTCTCCCTCCTCCAGCGCCTCGCTGTCACCCCGCGGGATGTCTGCCTCCCCCCTGGAAGGTGAGCTCCCGCCGAGTCCCCGGTGCGGGCAGGGCGTCGTGCTCCATAGAGAAACTAGCGAAGAAGCCAGGGGCCAGGTCAGCGTGCCCCGAGGGGAGGACTGTCCACATGCAACACTTCGTTGGCATTTGAAATGAAGCGTCAGCAGCCTGGGGGACGGACGCGAGGAAGTCCTGTCAGGGGACACTGACCGAAAGGGGACCGGGAGGAAGGTTGCTGCTGGGCAACAAGAGCAAGCGGAAGAGACCCCCAAAGCCATCTCCAGGGGGATACTAAGAAACTGGTAAATTCTGGGAGACAAGAGGAAGAAACTCAGCGGTTGCAAAAGGCCAGAGAAGATGAGGGCGGGGGGGGTGTCCCTGAGGCCCAGAGCGGAGAGTCGGGGCGCTTTGGGGGGGGGGGCTACAGCTGCGTCCTGCGAAGAGGTTATATGGAGTCGGAGCTGAAGATCGCCCAGGACATGGGCAGCGGGGATCGCTGACGACCTCAGGAGAATCAGCTTTGTGGAACAGCTGGCGGCTGACTTCCGTTTCCGTGGGCTTCAGCCTGCACCCAGAGGCGAGTCTGCAGGAGGGGTCGCAGCCCCGCAGGTAGCAGAGGTATTCCCAGCAGGTGTGTGTGAGGGCAGGGCGGCTCGACGTGAAACAGGTCTGCAGGATCTGCAGATTTCTCCATGGCGCTACGGAGTGGACACAGCTCCGTAGAGTCCATGAAGTTGACCAGGCTCCGGCTGTCCCCTGCGGCCTTGATCTTGTTAATGTAGAAGGCGCGTGGGCGTGCAGCACGCGTGCCCGACTCGGAACACCTGAGTGTGGGTGCATGCGCATGCGCAAACGTGCACACCTGCACCGGGAGAAGACGCTGAAAGGGCGGCGGCGCCTGAGGAGTAAGCTGCCTCCCCGCCCGCTGCGTTGGCTGCTTTACGGCAACCTGCGAAGATGGCGCCGAGGACTCCACAGTTCTTTCAAGTCGCAAGACCCCACGGTGGACCTAGCTGGCCTGGTAAGTTGCACAGAACCACCTACATAATATTTATCATAGAAGTCGGTAAGGATGTGTAATAGGATATGCGCTCCATTAGGGAAGGTTAGGGGGACGCGTATTTTTAAGCAATTTTAGATTGGCTGAGAAACACAGAAGCTTTGGCGGGGGCACTTGCAGCTGGAGGGAGCTTTGGGGACGTTGTCTCCCTGACTGTGCCTCCCTGCTAGGGAAAATCCAGGAGGAGGCCCCCAAGGCGTCCAGGCTGCAAGTACAAGGCGCTGAAAATGCTTCTGGGACTCTAACTTGGTAGCTCAAGGGGAGTTTGGGGAGAAAGGCTGCTTCATGCCAAAGAAACAGGCGGAGAAACCATCCGTGCCAGCCAGGATGGGAGCCCCGACGGCCCAGGGCGAACGCTGTGCCCAGCATCGAGTTGGTCGGGAAGGCTGTGTCTGACTCTCTCTAGAAACTCATGTGACAACGGTGGTGAGCTCACCACTGGATGCATCTGGGGCACTTCTGTGCCAGGTCATGTCCTAACTCACCTAGACCCACAACCACCCTATGAGATAGCATTATGATCGTCAGTTCACAGGGAGAAATGGGGGTGCTGTCCATTGCCTCAGCCATAAAGCCAGTGAACAGATCACCAAGGCTGGATCAAGCATACCTCATGGCTGCAGCCATTAACTACTACACTGTATTACCCAGGTCTCTCTGAGCATTAAGCTACACAGACACACAGACACAGATGTGCCTGGGACCGAATCTCCACTGCGAGTGTCTCCCATGGGGTAACCATAGCTGTCCAGGGGGCAGGTTCCCTGTCTGTGGCTCTTGTAGCGGAGGGGAGGTACAAACAATGGGTTAAAATATAGACAAAATAGGCCCTCCCTGGTGACGCAGCGGGTTAAAGCACAGCACTGAGAATCTAAAGCCGCTTCCTCATGAGTTTCATCCCCGCCTGCCCTGGAAGTGACCACATGGCGTGGCAGACCTCTCCTGACCCGCCCGCTGCTCCCCTCAGCAGTGTACTTGGTCGATCTGCCTGTTCTGCTCCCCACTCTGTCTCTGGTGAAGCCTCTCGCCGCCCCTGCGCCTCTGGCCTGTATCCCAGTTCTGTATGCACAGATAAATAAATTTTAATATGTATATATGTATATATACATGTATATATGTATATATACATGTATATATGTATATATACATGTATATATAGAGAGAGACAAAATATTTCTGTAGCATCAGTTATGAGCAAGTGACCCCAGGGGTGCACTGTGAGTCAGAGGAAAGGGCAGTGAGGGCCAGAGCATAAGCGTGTGCGTGGTTCCTCCGAGCTCTACGAGTCCCAGTTGTGAGGGCCTGGACTACAGAATACAACCGGACTACAAAAGTCGTAGATATTTCTGGTAATGGCAGCAGCGAAGGGAGAATCTAAACTAAAATAATGTTGGGAGAAAGTCGAAACAGTTTGATATCAGTGTGGAGAAAACTTGGGGGGGGGGAACCTGTGAAGTCAGTGTCACAGTTCAGCCCCGAGCTTGCCACTTTTTAGTTATGGGGCGTTAACACCTCAGACCTCATTCGCTCCTCCAGTTGTGAAGTGAAGAAAGCAAGAGCAACCTCTCGAGGGACCCCGACGGGGACCCAGCAGGGAAATCGCCAGCACAGCAGCTGCTAGCCAGGACCTTCCCCTTGGCTCACAGATAGGCAAGAAGCAATTGTTTGTGGCCGAATCACACGTGTTTCATAGTTGATTTGAGACAGAAAAGATGGTAGAAAAAGAGATAGATGATGGATGATAATGGATGGATGGAATAGAGGAAGCCTAGGGTGGGCGATGGACGGATGGATATGTCCGTGTGCACAGACAATGGGGACAGAGAATATCCCAGAGTTCCCTAAATTGCACCTGCATTTGGAGTTTTCCCCACTAACTGCCACATTATGATAATTATCTTGGGGATGAATATTCTTTAAGTGTGATTCCATGTCTAACCCACCTCAACCTGGACGAGGATATCATCAGATGAGTCATTTCTACTTTGGGAACGTTTGCAAGACTGAAACACAGAAGCAGTGTGCCACTGCCAGCCGGGGAAGCCCAGGCATGTCTCCGGCTTCTGGAACTGTCCTGGTGCTGCTTGTACTTGAAGGCCTTCCCCCACCCTTGCGTTACTCTCAGAAAGCTCTCGTTTGGTTCTCAGACACCTCATGGCCGCTGAGTGCATATCCCTTGAGAGTTGGTGATTCGGGGGTAATCCTTAGACACACACACACACACACACACACAGTTTTCTAGTTTGTGGATGTTATTTCCTTTCCCATTAGGTTTCATGAGCACAGTAATGAAAATCATTTCAAACTACTCAGTTGCAACAAAGCCTTTCACTGTCGTCATTGGACTTGGTTCATCTTAATCTTTTATCAGTAGCACTTTCCCATCCCCTAAATCAAGAGCTGAAGAGCATAAAGGTCATTACACCCTAACGGCATATTGCTTTTAGACCGAATGACATACTGCTTTCTGTTCCTCTTCCGGTTAAGCTTTTGTAAAGGACAGTAGAGCGGGAAGGCAGGGGAGGCGGGTGGCTTGCAGGAGGCAGGTCGGCTCACCTCCGCAGACCATGCCCTCGAGGTCCTCACAGCGCCGGTCGTCACACTCGCACGTCCTGCCGTACACCCTGCGGTCCCCCGGGGGGTAGCAGGTGCAGCTCCCACACTCACATTTACCTGCAAGACAGGGAGAGCAGCAGCCTCGTCAGAGTCACAGAATGAGTCGGGCTTCCAGAGGAACGGACATTCTGTGAAACCCACTTTTCCAGCGACGGTAGGCTGTGCTAGAAAGGAATTCGGGGACACAATCTTTCTGACCTCCTGAAGGTCATCTGAAGGTCAAGTGCAAATACCCCAGTAGAGACTTAAAGTGACAGTTGTAGGTCAGAATCACTCACTTTACTATGTTTCATTCATCTTTGGAGAATAATTGAGTTATTAAACTTGCTGGGTACTTTGTACTTGTTTAGTTTGAGGGTGCTGCTTGACTCGATGGCTTTAATGTGTTTTGACATTTGAGCATAACATGGTCATTTTTTAAATTATATTTATTTTTAGATCATCTACCCTCTAAGAGAGAAAAATGTTCACAAGTATATTTTAGGGTGATGCTTTTGTGATAATGCGGTATCAATTTTATAGTATACAGAATTCATTCACCTAAATTGTGTGTCAAGTCTCACAACACATAATAGCTTTATTATTCTTAAATTAAGATAAAAAAGTTTTTTTGGGTAAAAGTCTAGTTTGTAGTCAGGAATTCCTTAACAGTTATCACGAAAGCTTTCACCATTTTTTTCTTGAGCTGTAGCTGTGAGTCAAACACTGTGATTCCTTCAAGTGGACCATTTTGTTTTCATCATACACACAGTGATTAGTATTACTAGTCAGGAAATGGGAATATATTGAGGCCAAGTCACAGTACAAGATGACACAATTGGTAAAAGACAGATTCAAAATTCACATCAATTCTCATTCATCTTCAAGCCTGATAACCATTGAGCCGCACTGCCCCTTCATATACTTACAGTGCACACCAGGAGGCCCTAAGAGAAGAAAAACTCCTCTTGCCTGGCTTGCAGAATTCATCCGGGCGGCTCCTCTCGGACATCTGCTCCTGTCTGCCATTAGTCCACCCATCAGCGCCCTCCCCCTGCAACGCTGGTGAGAGACCCAGGGCTCACCCTGCCATGCTGTTGGTCTTCCTGTTGCTGCAGTTGTCTCTTGTCAAGCAATTCTGAGTTGGTCGATGATGGAAGGACGGAAGATTAGTGTGGAAAATCCTATTGTTTCAGAGTTGTAATGAAAGATTATCTAATGCAGTGATTCACGAACATTGCTGGCAAAAGGGCTTGGTCACAATGCTATTGAGAAGCTGATGGAAGATATGGCGGTAGTGTTCTTCAGGGGCCCTGCAGTCTGCCTCTCGTTTTGCTTGGCAGCAACCCCAAGCTCAGCAGGAGGCAGAGGTACCCTTCTCCTGTGTTGTTTACTCTTCTGATGCCCTACTGGCCAGAACCGAGAGACACCAGATACTTGCGGCCAAGTCTTTGAATCTCAAGAATAAAGGCAAAGGCGGGCTCTGGGCAGCAGCACAGTGGTGAATGTCCAGATGTGGTAGCGCTTGGAAGGCAATAGCTGGTGTGTGAAGGCAGTGCAGGAGGGCTGGTTCCTGGCAGTACCGAGCCTCCTGGGGTGCCACACCAGCTGATGGCCCAAGCGTGTCCTCTGAGCCTAAGCCCTTCTGATAAAATCCTATCTCCTCCCAGTCAATGAAGTTGGTTTCTGTTGCCTGCAATCAAGAACTCTGAAAGATATAGACCCTAGGGCTCTCTCTGGAGAACTCTACTGGCAGGCACCTATTTTTTTTTTTTTTTTTTTACAAACTGTCAGGAGAATCCGTCTTCCTACAATTTATAGTAAACTGAAGCCCAGGGACGCTCAGTGATTTTCCTGAGGCCAGTTAACTAGATGCTGCCTGTGGCTGCTACAGGCAGACTTTCTGAGTCTGGATGCTCCCTGCTGTCCGTAAACACGGTGGCCCTCATCATGGGTGATGTGTGAATGACAATCTCAAGGTTGGGGTGAGAAACAGGCAAACTCTAGGCCCAAGAGCAGGATGACAAATAGCGTCAGATGTGAGATGCGAGCACCAGTCATGGCATTCCAGACGCGATGCGGCCCCAGCTACACAGACAGCATCAATTCTCAAGCCTGAGGGCATGTGTACCTGTGATGACAACTTTATGAACACATTATAGCCTGGTATTTCCCTGAATTGCTCATATCTGTGAGCTCTGGGGAAAGGAACACCTGCAACTGGGCATATGTACTCAAATACTTGCATTCAATGTTCTCATTATGGATAGTTTCTATCTTACCTTTATTCCACAAAGTGTTAATTAGGAAAGTGTAATATCTATTCACTGCTACATTCTCCCCTGATATAATTCATGCATTTTTTTTTTCAAATATCAGGGGATAATTAATCATCTTGCAAACTTTTGTCTTTTGGCTATGTATCTGTTGGGGATTTTAAGATTCAGGGAATTATTAGCTGATTTATCTTTATGAATACAACTATTATAGCTTACAGAATATAGCAGCTCTTCATGTAGAAGTAAAAAATATACCTCAAAAAAGGCTAATTTATTGCAGATGAAACACATTATTTTGTTATTGCAATTCACAACTTGGATTCGGTTCCTACCAGGATGTATATCTGTCAGGTAAATTCCCAATCTTCTTCAAGATCCAAGAAAATTTCACTAACATCAAACATCAAGTCTGTGATGTTTACATACTTCTACTCTTAGCAGCTTCACAGCTACAGCAGAGGTAACGCACTTAAGTGTTATCACAGTGTTTGAATCAGTATATAGTGGATGAATGCATTAAACAATAACCACCTCAGCATAGCTTAGCACTATTCACACAACAAGTGAGCTACTCAATGGTAGGGCTTGAATTTAGAAGGAAATTTCTCCAGAAAAACATCTGCATTTTCAATTGCCTGAACCCCATCACCTGGGTTTCCCACAGTGATAAGGGTGAAGCTTGTTGCACAGCAATTTCACCATCTTTATTCACAAGCCTCTTCCTCTTCTTTGGTCCTTGATGGTGAAGAAGGTGGCCATGATTTAGTCTGACACCAAATCTTAAAAAAAAACCTGATGATGTAATTGATTCCCTTTTGCTTTTAATCATTCTTTTCCTTTCAATTTGAAGTTTCATGAACCCCAAATTTCTCAGGATAAACTTCTGATTATGTCATTCCCTTTCAAGTGATGGTCCCAATTGACCATCAAGGCAGAAATCACCAGGGCTTTCTACAATTGGTCCAAGTCACCTTTCCCCACATATATATTCAATGTCTGTAGTGCACTAGTGTTCAGACACTTTCCTTATGTTCTGACTACGGACTCTCTTGTGTATGCTGCCGCTTGGAACCCTCCCCGGTTTTCAATAGCCAGCTCAAATCGAATCTCTGTGTTTCCTTCTTTATCACCTCTCTTATCATTTACCTGGCAGAATTTCTCCCTCCCTCTGCCCCCTCACCCAGCTCTCTCACTAGTAGATCAGTGAGTGCAGCTTTTATATGTGAACCCAGCCATGAACCACAAGCTTCCTGTGGTATAGGCTGATGGTGGGTTTGTATCCTGTTAGCACCCAGCAAAGTTCTCATTGACAGGAAACCCTGGCATATAGATTTATTCTTTTCGTATTTTTTAAATAAAAAGTTGAGTCCAATCTCTTTCCTTTATTTACCAACAGTTTTGATGTTGTGGTACTGTAATATGGCTTCTCAAATGACTATGAAATTAATATTCTCTTAAAGAAAAATAAAGGATAAGAGAGACTCGTTTGTTTAGTACAAATAAGTAGTATTTTATATAACAAATGGAGAGGTAAATCTAAAGAAAAGACATACTCAAGGAAACACAAAGAAACCAAGTATTTTTTAAAAAACAATTCAGGAGCAGATGGAGTCTCCCACTCCTATTAAAATTTTTTTTAAAGATTATTTATACAGGCCAGTGATGCGGAGGTTGAGAGAATTCACCAGAGACAGAGTGGGGTACAGAACAGGCAGATCGACGAAGTACAATGCTGAGGGGAGCAGCGGGCGGGTCAGGAGAGGTCTGCCACGCCATGTGGTCGCCTCCGGGGCAGGCGGGAATCAAACTCATGCGGAAGTGGCTTAAGTTTCTCAGTGCTGTGCTTTAACCCGCTGAGACACCAGGGAGGGCCACTCCTATTAAATTTTAATAAAACAGAAATCTTTAAGCAGATACAAAATGTCAGTCCACTGATATCATTTTGAAAGAGAACTTAATCTCTAAGAACTGTATTTTTAAGGCTTATGCACATTAGCAATGAAGAGTACTGAAGGAAGGCTGGTATATAGAAGTACTGATCAAGGTAGATTTTACTTAAATATTTTAAATGTGACACTTCCATAAAATACAAAGGTGGGACATTGCAATGGGAAGTTTATAGTTCTGCATGCAACTACTCATTTTAACAAATAAAATATAACTCACGTAATTTAAATCTCTCACTTAAATTTAATCATGATAATTACTAGAGGTAATCACCACCTTTCAGAGATGTGTATATATGTTTGCCTTCCATTTTTTCCCCAAAAGTACTAGATTAAAATATAAAACCGGCCCTCCCTGGTGGCGCAGCGGGTTAAAACACAGCACTGAGAATCTAAAGCCACTTCCACATGAGTTCGATCCTCGCCTGCCCCGGAGGAGACCACATGGCGCGGCAGACCTCTCCTGACCCGCCCGCTGCTCCCCTCAGCAGCGGACTTCGTCGATCTGCCTGTTCTGTTCCCCACTCTGTCTCTGG